CAACGCTTCGTGTGCTTTAAGGCTTGTGTGGGGCCCGGGTGTCGCCGGGCCTCCTTCCCTCCGTCCCTTTCTGCCCCATCTCGTGTCTGAAGCTGCGTGTCCCTCACACGTCCTGCCAGGGGTGCCGTTACTCCTGGAGAGGAGCGCCATGACCCTTCCCCGCCTGCAGGCTGGCAGCTGGGATTTGCACCTGAGTGCAGCTTCCCCCGGGAGTAATCCTCGTGTGAATCATGGGTTGTGTGAACCTGGACGCTCAGATTGCTTCGTAAAATGCTGATCTCTCAGTGCGATCGGGTATTGCTACTGCTGCCAGTAGAAACTCTGCCCAAGTTGCGCCCTCGGTGTGGGTAGGCTTAAAATAGGCCCATGGGCATAAGTCACTTCATTAAGGCTGTGCTGAACTTCGGGAGCTTGAGAAGACACATCCAGGTTAGGCGGGTCATGCCACAAGCACAAAGCCACTGAAGCTGCAGTGGGTTAAAGCCATTTTTAAGCTAGAGCAGAGCATCACGTTGGTAATGAGTTGTTCCAGTGCATAAATAATGGCCCTGTGTTAGTATGGCTAAAACAGGCATGGCTTTGCTATTTGAATAAAACACTTTCACAGGACTTGACTTAAGTTTTGTGGGTTTTTTTTCGGCTGTTCTTTAGCAGTGGTTTGCACTCACTCCCTTGTTAAAATATGTGCAGAATGTGATGAGCTGCCTTCTCGCTTCTAGGCTGTTAATGTTTTTCTTCTATACTAGGTGAACTTGAGTGCACACAGAGGAGGAAAGGTTGATGGTATTCTTCCAGTCTGTGCTCTCAAGAAAGCTCAGCTTTATGGAGTTACCGGTTTGGGATGTTGCTTTTCATATGTTGCAGAAGCTCAGAATACATTTGTGTAATGTGCTCGGACATTTACTAGATTGCTAGGGTTTGATTCACTCCCCATTGAGAGAGCAGGAGAAGGGTCTTCAAGGTATCCTAAGGGTCTGTTAGGATCCTTCGTAAACTGTGCCAAACACCACCCCCAATAATGGGGGGGAGGAAGCATATGCCATCTTTAAGACACTGTATTCTTTAGAAAAATTGGAAAAACTGATTACCATGTTGGAAGCTATGAAGGGTTTGATTTACTTCCTGTTTGGAGGCAAGGAAGGGCCCTTAAGATATCCTAAGAACCTGTTAAGATCTTTGGTAAACTACGGGAAAAAAATAGAAAAGGAGAGGGGAAAAAAGGCGTGTGGCGTCTCTAAGACACTGTGTTCTTTGGAGAAGCTAGAAAAAATAGTTACCACGATGCAAGCTGTGAGCCTGCTAATTTGTTTGCTGCTCTTTAGTATATGGCTGCATCTTGATCTTGTGTGACTAGGGGAAGGGGAGATAGGGCAGGCGAAAGGCGGGCAAACAAATGTACCTGATGCTCAATAGGTGGCGTGCTGGAAATTCGCGTAGTAACTTGTTTAATGTAAAATTGTGCCCCTGCTTTCAGTGAATTTTATGGATTGGGTTTATCTTCTTTCCAATTTCATCTGTGGGAATTGAATTATTATTAATGAGTTATCAGTGCTATTTTATTGTTATTTTTTGTTAACATCCTGTTTTATGTCTCCTAGCTGAAAGTCATTGCTATTGATGAACAGCTGAGAGTCATTTATGAAGATAATGTTCACTTTGATAAAGACCTTCCAGAATTTAAGTAAGGCTTTTTATATTTTGCTTGGATAATAAAATTTAGAAGTTTGGAGATCGGAATGGGGGAGTTGTGCCCTATTTGGTCTCGTTGATTTGTGTGGAGGCATGGAAAAAAGTTTGTGCCATGTTTGTGTTTTGTACTTGGCAAGGGTGGTATATGCTCTTGTCTTTGTTGGTACGTAAATATGGCAAGAACACCCAAGAGGAAATAAATTTTAAAAATCAACCTTGAAGTATCATGTATAAATAAACAAGTCTTTTTTCTTTTGGAACTTCAGACTTGTGGGCATGATTTTTTTTCTTTCTGGGACACAGATGTAAGCACCGCCTTTGTGTCACAGTGGAGTGTTGTGATAACAGCAAGTAAACTGCATGAAGGAAAGTTCTAAAAGGCACTTGGAGAAGAAGCTGGTGCTTCCAAATATCAAAATAAGTTGTAGGATGGCAGTTTTTGTTTCCTTCAGTTAATGGACTAGAATTTACACATGTCATCTTCCACGTTCGCAAGTCTCAGTGAAGCACATTTATTTACTTGATGGTTTAAAAGCACAAATTGAATTTCATCTTCTAGTTTCAAACCACTAATGGTGACAGTTAGGAAACTTAGCAGTAACGATGAATTACATGGAGCCAATGAGCAGTATCACTGTTGGAGTCTATCACAGATCTTCCTTAAGGATCAGAGTCTTTCCTTGCAAGTTATTTACGTTACAATTGGGTCAAATATCTGTTATTGTCACCTCTTAGGAGCTGGGCTTTACTTTTTCAGGTTTCAAACAGTGATCCTGTCCTTGCTTTTAACATAAAAGCGTTGCAATCTCTCTTTGGTTATTAGTAATCTTGAAGAACTTTGCTTGGCAGGGATAAAACTGCTGAATTTACCAAGAAAAAATACTGTTTTTCTGTAGGACTCAAGGTGGAGTCTATATTCACAGTGACAGACTGACAGTCACTTCTCCTGTGCTAATGTGGGTCAAGGTATGAACAAGCTTTTTATAGTTCAACTTCTTCCTTGCTCTGACTGAAGTGGAAATGCGTTCTGTTCAATAGTGAAACTCATCGCTCAAATCAACACAGTCCTTTTGCTTGTATTCTGCTTCTTTGTGATGCTATTCTGTCGTGGTGTGCAAATATTAACATTTTCAACAAACATTATGGAAGTTGCTAACCTTTCAAGAGTTGTTTTTGTTTGTTTCTTTGCTCTCTACTGTTACAGCATTGTGTGTGTGGTAAGTCCTTTCCTGACTTTGCCTCGTTTGGAAAAAGACTTTTCTTTCAACTCATCTTTTTGCTCAGGGTGCGAAAGGGGCAGCTGTCACTTTGCCTAGCTCAAGTCTGTGGGTTTGTGGCATTTGTATTACTTGCACTACCTTTTTTTTTTTTTTTTTTGATTAAGCTTTGCTAACCAGCTGATGTCTCAGCTGGTAAGTGGTTAAAGAGGAATTTATTGAGTGATTTTCAGTCACTTTAACTGGTGTTTATTTTGAAATACAGCCTTCTTTTCTACTTTAAAAAAAGGACTTCCTTGCTTCTCTGCAAGGAAGTGTTCTCTGTAACACTTGCTCTCGCATGGTACTGCGTAAATTTGCTCTACAAGGGTGATTTGGATAGTGAAGATACTTGGAGGGTCATAGAACCCCCAGCTTGTGATCCACAATAGTTGACAAAGATAAATTTGCTTGCAGTTGGTATTTTGAACCATAATAAACAGCAACAGTTGTAATTATTAAATTAATAATATGATGATACAGGCATATAGTGTTTCTTGGGAAATTTTGCAGTCTTGTAGTGGTCCATTTGTCAGGATAGCCTGGGAAACGGTGATATGAATGAGTCTGTGTGAAGATAGATTAACTTTTGGGTTTGAACTTCAGAAGATGTGGCAAGAACAAAATTAACCTAGGTACTTGAAGTGCTGAAATGCACTTGTATCAGCCTTATATTAAAGAGACTCTCGAGTTTTCAGCTGGCACTAGAGCAGTGGCATTGAGGATACCTAACATCTTGTAGGATGGTGTGCAGGGCACACCCTATTAAGATTTGAGAGATTTCCAAAAAGTAAGAGCAGAAAAGGATAATCTTGCTTTGTGTCTGGCATTCTTTAAAGTGGCTTTTTAATTAATTGGAATTCTTTAACTCTTGCCTCTTATTTAGATTTCAAAGAATAGGTCTTTGTGATTCAGCTTATTTAAAGATCTTTTTTTTTTTTCTTTGTGATTCAACTTTGTGCTTTTATGGACTCTTACTTAGTAAATTAATCTGTGCAGCCTCTTGAGAAGTCCATAGTTATTATCTAATTTTTCATTATCTGCCATGAACTCCTATCAGTGATGACATGAATTTACTGTTTAATTCCAGAGATTGCGAGTATGCATAATTTCAGAGCTCCTTACAGTCATTCTTGATTCTGTTTGTTCTTCTAGGCTCTGGATATGATTTTGGAAAAGATGAAGTCTTCGGGCTTTGACTTGTCTCAAGTCAGAGCTTTGTCTGGTGCTGGTCAGGTTAGTTTATAAAGAAAAAATCAATCTTGCTATATTTCTCCAACAGAGTGTAAGCTATAGTGATAGATTTCATTTGAATTGTATTGCAAAAGACAACGTATTGCGTAACGACATCAGGTAAGACCAAACTTCTGAATAAGCATCCACTGAAAGACACATTCCTAAGGGGAACTTAAAACCTGAAGGACACAGAGCAATCGCTAGAAGAGAGTGGGAGTGGGGCATAAGGTTTACAGTTGAGTTATTTGGATGAGTACACTGTGTAACTAGATGATTTCCTTTTCTTTGAATTCTTTGTACATACAGATTCTGAAATAACGGGGGTAGTTTTGAATTCCAGCATATCCAGGTGCTTGTGGAAATGGAGTAGAAAAATAGTGAGGAGCACAGTTTGCTGAAAGCATCTTAACATCCTGTTGAGCAGTTTTTCCTGGCTAGGCTAGAGATCTACCTGGGAACAACAAAAAGTAAATGATAAATAGTCTTTGATGCAGAAATGACAAAGGTGTTGCCATGATTTAGCCTGTAGTGCATAATGCTTATTTGCTGAGATTTACAAAGACCCTCCTGACCTTTAGTCAGTTAGCCAGTGTGCTGGAACTCTGGTGAAACGAGGAAGTCTTTTATAACTTTCACAGATGATATTTAGGGTGAGGACAGCACCAAAGCGGTAGCTAATTCTGACACGTGTGGTTTAGTTTATTCATCTTGATATATCTGGGCCTAATTAATCAAAACTCTTGCTTTGATCTCCATGTTTCATTGATTTCAGTTGAAAGTCTGAGCAAAGCGTCTGAAAATCGTAGCTGATATGAAGGCTGTGTTATGAATTCTTCAGTGAAACAGAAGTTAGGGACTGCCAAGTAACCCCACTTACTCAAGTGAAAAAAAGAAGTTCATTTCTGGATTGCCCGTATTCCCCTGTTTTTTACCCATCCTGCAACAAGTTGGGAGTATCAGCCTGGTTCTAGATTAAGATTCTTTTGGATAGGACAGATTTAATTTAGGTGCCCCCTTCCAACCCACATTGTCTTCTCCCTTTTCTCTTTGAAGAGCCTTATCTTTGTGCTGCAGATCACTGCAGAGGTGCGCTGATGTGCTGGTGTTTGTCCCAAAGAAGGGAGCAAACTTGCTCTCACTTGGCTGCAGAAATGGCAAGAGAGATGTGAAATAGAGCCTGTATGATGCTGTGGTCAAGTGTTCTGTGCTCAGACTAGAGCTGGCTGCCTGGAGGCAGCTGCCTGAGAGATGGAGCTTAAATGACCGTCTCAATCTTCTGCAGTCTGGTGGTGACGATGGGGGCAGGCATGTAACTGATGAATCTGGGGCTGTGCTGAAATAGCGTGGAATTCACAGTTGTGGAGCCCTGGCTACAGCTCAAAGAGGCCTCAAAGAAGTATTTAATACCATTAGCAGTATACTAATACTTCCCACTAGAACTTGTAGTTCAAAATCATTGTTGTCTCTTGACTCCTACATTTCCTGGTTTAGTATATGCTTTGCGTGGTCTTAGTCTTTTAATGAGACACTTGATTTGAAAACATGGATTTTTTGGTCCTAGTTTGGAAAGAGTTCTCTGTCTCTTAGAATTTGAAATTCAGATCAGGATATGTACTTTGCAGTGTGGGAGGACATCTCCAACTTCTGTTTCTGTACTTTCTCCAGCAACATGGGAGCGTGTACTGGAAAGAAGGAAGCATCCAGACTTTAAAGAATGCGTCTTCTGAACTGCCTTTGTATCAGTCACTAAAGGTAACATCCATAAAAGAGCTCTGAAGGGAAACCTACACTGTCTTTTTTCAGATACTTACATACTGCTTTTCTCCTTGCAAACCTTTCTTCTTGTTTGGCTGAGTTGTGTGCCCCTGCAGCGTAAAGTGAAATGTACTGGTTGTTCCTTCAGCTCCAGGGCTTTTCACATTTCCTTTTTTAAGTGACAGTATATACTGATTTAAAAGATTACTGGTGCCAGTGGGCATCCCAGAATCTTTCTATGTCAGAGCAACAACCTGTTTGTTCTTTCAGGAAACATAATATTTTTGTAAATATGTTACATTTGTAAATGTAAAGTAAATACTTTACATTTCTAAATATATTTATATCAACAAAAAAATGTGGTGAAAAATGCTGTTGTATGTGAGTTTCCTTGCAGTGCTTGTGATTTCATTAGAAAATAGTAAAAAACCAAAAAAACCCAGCAAAAAAACCCCCAATTTACTCTTCCCTCTGAAAGGATGGAAGTGTAATGGACACACTCCTAATGGGTACATTGTTGAACCTCAACATTTTGTGTGTGATTTTTAAATTTTGGACATAGACTTGACAAAATTGTATCTAAAAAGAAAAGTAGGGAGGAATTGACTTTCCTCTTGAAGACTCTTACCTTCCTTCCTTCAAGATTAGAAAGGACTGTTGTATGTTGAAAGGGAGACATTTGTGTAACTTACCTGCTAAATGATTAATTTTTTTTAATATCTAATCTGTGCAAAACTCATGAGAACAGAATCAAAATGCTCCCAGGTGATAACCTAAGCCTCAGTTGCGTTTCCAAAGGGATATGCCAGCCATTAAAGAGAAATCTGTTGGTGGAGCTGTGGGAAGATAATCTCATTGTTCAGGGAGGGGCTAAACTTGCATAAAAGGGCCTGGGGTTTTGGCTACCAAAGGGAGTGTATTGAGACATCTGAAAGAAAGTTACAGTTAAAGTTTTCACCGCTGGCCAACGTGCTGCCCGGTACCTGCTTTCTGGTAGTCACCGATAGGAGACCAGAAGGCACGTCGGAGAACTGAGCCGATACGTAGGTGTGCTGTATCGCTATTGCTCTGTCAGGGACCTCCTAGAGATCAAACTTCCTACTAAAGGATATTGTTTGTTGCAGGGCTGTTTTTCTGTCAGCAGCAGCCCCATCTGGATGGATTCTAGCACAACTTCCCAGTGCAGCGCTCTGGAGAAAGCCGTGGGGGGGGCGCAGCACCTAGCAACTATCACTGGTTCTCGAGCCTATGAGGTAAGGATGGGATGGGAGAAAAGTCCTCAGGAGAGTCTTTTGTGACAGAAACAGTTCTGCCATTACTGTTTACAAAGGTGTGTAGCAATGGGATGAGGAGCAGTGATTTGAAACTAGAGCAGGTTTAGATTAGACATTAGGACGCTGGAGCAGGTTGCCCAGGGAAGTTGTGAATGTCGCCCTCCTGGAGTGTTCAAGGCCGGGTTGGACGGGGCTTTGAGCAGCCTGGCCCAGTGGGAGATGTCTCTGCCCATGGCAGGGGATTGGAACTAGATGATCTTTATGGTCCCTTCCAACCCCAGACATTCTGTGTGGTACCGCAGCAGGTAACGATCAGCCATTAACTGTGGAAGAGTTTTGGAAGAAACTCCAACAGTATTGTGCCTTACAGTAGTCGCACAAAGGAAGATGTGGAAATTTTAAAGTGAAAATAGGCAAACACTGGAAATTTTGCTGCAGGAAGCAGCTGGAGTGAGCAGTTGCATTTGTCCAATGATGCCGAGATGCAGTGCTTGGTGGTCGTGCTTATGTTCTCAGGCCCTGGGAGCTCCTGCGCAACCCCAGTTCCATTGGGATGGCAATCCAGTTTGTGTTACTGGTTTCTTTGGGGCTCTGACCACGCTGTTTGTGCATCACTGCTCTGGGTTACTTTTGCGTTTAAAAGATGGGTATTTTAATATTCCCTGAAGACTAACAAGCAGATGTTGACCTAAAAGAAGTGTTTTGGAAGTTTGGGATGATCTCTTCAGGAGTTTCTCTTTGTTGTAACTGTGACAAGGAGTTACTGAGTGGGAGCAGCACTGCCCTCAGGGCATCTCAGCACTTGTTGTTTCAACAGAATAAACCTCCAACCTCCCCAACTGCTGCTTCTGTTTATGAATCATCGTGCAGGGATTATGGCCAGTGTTGAAATCAGACTTTGCGTACCACAAAAAGTTTATTTTTAACTTGCTAAAGGTTAAGGTTTCAATGTTAGAAGGGTTTTTTTTGTGTTATTTGGTACAATACATGGATGAAAAATAACTGTTCTTACAGCTATTATTACCCTGTGCTGAAGTGGCTGCTTTGAGTATGAAACTTCCTGCTCTGCTCTCAGTTCACCTGCCTCACAGAGAGGTTGAGGAGCTTACACCTTTTCAGGGGTTTGAATTGTGCTGGTGTCTGTGCACGGAATCAGTGTGATTCATCCCATTGAACTTTCATTTCTGGAATGTAAATTATGGATAGTAATGCTTTTCACTTTTTTTTTTTTTGAAAGGTGAGCAAAAGTCTCATAACGCGACTATGGTTATAGCCTGTTTAGTGCAGATTGCCTGCTGTGCACTGACTTTCATCATGCATCAGGCAAATTAAATATCCAAAGTGCAATGTACTGCACTCATTACAGAGAGTTAATGATTATTGACTCCATTTAGGGTTTGTGTTTCTAAGCATTTGCATTTCTTTCTCAGCGTTTTACAGGAAATCAGATCGCAAAGATTTACAGCCAGAATCCCGAGGTCTACATGCAAACTGAGGTTGGCTCAACTTCAATACACTTTTTGGGAAACACAGTTGAAAAATCTTTTCAAGTTAATTTTGTGGGGATGCCTTTATGGACTTTTAAACTAAAAAGTGTTTTGATTCTCGTGTTTGATTTTAAGATTTAAATTAAAAAATTGATTATTTTATGTGTTGTTAAATTATTCGTTCTTAACACAGAAGACTCTATTGGATCTTACCTTTGTGGAAGAAATTTTTCAAAACAGACTTTCATTTGAGTGGTGATAAATTGTATTTACAGCAATTTGAACACAATAAGGTAGTTAAACACAAAGTTGAAATCATCACGCTTAGAACTGGCCATCTGTGTGCCGCAATGTGATTGCTCTGCCATACAAAGCTTTTATCTGTGCTCATGTGCCTGCAGAAAAAAATCTGTGATCGATTCTAGACTTTTTTTAATAGTTCTCCACTTCAGGAGCTGTTTTGATTCTGTTATTAAAAATGAACTGCATTGTGTGGTAGGTTTCCTTCTGATTTTTCATTTTCAGAAATCAGCTTGCAGTTCCATTGTTTCAGTTTGTTTAGTCTGTATCTAGCTGTGACCGAAATGCTGTGTTGTGAAGCAAGGTGAAAACTCCATGCAAATATGATGTGAATGGGATTAGATTATGCCAAACGTCCAGACCCCTAAAGTCAGGCCACTCCTATTTTTGTGTTACTGCAGTTCTCCTTACACTGTTTGTATTTTTTTGGGGGTGTTTTTAAAAATCTTCCTGCTGGGAACACTTAATTTAAGGGTGAAGTGAGTTGCAAATTTGACTATGTTTTGTGGGAGAATGCTTCATTTTTAATGTATTTTTTTTTTCTTATTACATTTTCACTATATAACATTTGAACCAGTAAGGTATGAGATGAAACAGAACACCACTGGCTGATGGTAAGCTTAAGACTGAGTTTAGAGAAAGACACTTGAGTACGGGGCAAGTGGGTCCATGGAATGGGTCCATGGAACTGAGAACTGGCCAGACCAATTTCAGACTTCAAGGTCTGGCACTTTTTTAGCAATAAAGGATATGCTGAAGCACAAAATATCTCTATGCTAGAGCTGCTCTTGGGGATCCTAAGGAAGCACTTAGCAGCTCGGCAGTCTCAACGACGTGTGGATGATTTTCCTTCTGTAGGTCAGCTTGGTAAACTGGCTGATTCACAGTTTAACTTCATCCTTTTCCTTCCGTTTCAGGCAGCTGGTGCCCACTGGGGCACCACAGAAGGTAGGCCTTCGATATCTAAGCATAATATGATACTTTCTTGAGGAGAGATGCACGAAGAGCAAGTACATCATTAAGTTTCCTGGCCATTATAACCACCTCGTAGAGCTCTGGCTGTAGTTTGTCTTTGAATGCTGTGTGAAGCAGTGGTTTTGTGATCATTAATAAAAATCCCGTCACCACTGGCTTACTTGACCAGTTGAGATTTGCTTCTGATTAGCTGTTGGGTGACAATCCTATTTCTTCTGAATTAGACAGAGCACACAATAAGGAATTTGTCAGCTTTTGTGCCAGCTTCTTGGGAGCAGATAATACCTGATCATGCAGAAAGCTTGGTGGTCACCAGTTAACTTGGTAGTTTGTGTAGCAGATTCGAAGCAGAAGCAAGTTCATGTTGGATCAGCACATTGTGTCATGTGGCCAGGGCATTTTTTGGGCCACTGTTAGAAGCCCTACAGCTGGATTTAATGCATTCTTGGAACAGACCCTGAGGCAGAGCTGCAGGCAGTGAGTGGTTCAGTTCAAAGCTGATAATGACCAGCCTCTGGGAGTAACTCCTGGGAGGTCGAGGGTCTCAGCTGGAAGGAAGGTAAAAGGTCACATAAAGGTGCTCACAGAGCTTTGCCAGAGGGGCTAAAAAGCTTATAGACCTGTGCTCTGGGTGGACCAGTGCATGATTTCTGGGCACTTCCCTGTCATCAACATAGAGGTGATTTTGTTTATTTTTTTTTCCTTAGAAAGTGTTTTTCCTTGAAATGAGAATCTGTTATACTGAGGTTGTAACTTAATACATGATAACCTGGAGTATGCTGATACACGAGGTGTACTTTGCATGTTTCAGAAGGCAAAGCTATTAACAGCTTTTATCATGGGCTTGCTTTCAGGTTGATACGTAGTTAGGTGGTAAGAAAGAGCTGAATAATCCTCCTAGGTGTATTTTTGTGTGCTTTCTTCACGTAATATTAAACATCTATTAACATTTGCTGCTTCCAGTCACCTAATTATTTACTTTCTTTGAAGTGAATACTGATGGGACTCACTGTCTCACACTTTTTCTTTCAGAGAATCTCTTTGGTTAGTAGTTTTGCAGCTTCACTTTTCCTAGGAGCTTACGCACCCATTGATTACAGTGACGGTAAGTGTGTGGGCTTTTCTCATAGTAACGATTCAACAAGGCAATTTTCCTTTCCATACCCACCTTACATAAAAGGGAGCAAGGTCTCTGCTATTTATTTTCAGTCTTTAAACTGTAATGACAAGTATATTAGATTTTAAGCTACTCCTTTGAATTTGTTGTTACTCTTGAGAGTGTTGTCACCTGTGCTGCTTTATCCCCATCGTGCTATGATTCCCATTTCTGTAAAGTGGATCCACAGGAAATATTCTTAAATGAAATTGTACCTTTTTCATTACTTTATGATGTATAAAGGAATGTTAAAGTATCTATTTAAAAGCATGAAAAAGTTGTGGGTTTCTAAGATAGACTTCATAGTTCTGATATTTGTTCTTTGGTTTTGCTAGTTTAGCTCCAAGTTGTACAGGATGTGAACAAGATGTATATCGTGATTATTTTCCCCCTATCTAACTGGAGTGTGGATCTATAGCAGAAATATTTTTTTTTTCCAAAATGAACAAGAGAAAAAAGCATAAACTGAGCAAAAAAATCCTTAACTCAGTTAAAAAAACATCACCTTTCATATCTGTTAATCATAACAAAGACAAAAAAGTGACACAAGGCTAGTGTCTCTCTTTTCTGTTGTGTGTTATCTCAGTTATCCAGCTTTTAAATGGCAATTTTAAATGGCAATTACAAGGGAAACCATTTTCCTGGGAGCTGCGCTGTTATTTCTAAATAGCATTTTTGATTCCTTCTCTGAAACTAAGCGAAGATATATTTCAGAGCTGAAAGGTTAGATAACAAGGCTCTCTAAGGAATTTTTGCATTACAGAGCCATAGTTGACACCCGTGTGTTAAGACCAACTCATTTTTTCCTCCTTTGTTGTTCCATCAAAGCTTGGACGAAAAGGCAAGACACCTCAATTTTAGCTAATGGACAAGTTATTCAATATCAGATCTCCCGGTTAGACCTGAGACCTTTAGGATTGCAGGGCAATCCATGCTTATTGTGCAGCAGTGGTGAGATTATTACGTCTGTCTTCTAGTCCTGTTCTGTTAGCTGCATATTTTCACAGGTGAATTTTACTTTTTCATGTATCACTGACAACAATAACTCTTTGGAGATTTGCGCTTTGCTCCTCAGTAGGCTCAAATACTGGGCATTTCGGCTGCTCAGCATCCCACAGAACTAGCTCCATGTGCTCTGTTTCAAAGAGGGGTGATGAGACCTCGGAGGTACTTTTTCTAGTAAATACGTTGTATTTTTATTTTTCAGTGAGAAAGAAGTGATAATTTTGATTCAGATGTTTAAATTTATAAGTATTTTTTTAAAAAGTCTTGATTTTGGTTTTTTTTTTTGACGTTTTTCTAATTTTTTTTTGTAATGTTACCTCTACCTTTTCTACTTGGAAACAAGTGAGGGAAAGCTGCGCTTCTTCAGTTTCAGAACATGAAGATTTCTGTGTTTGACTGAAAACCAAAACATTTTAAACTAAAGAAAATGAAAGTTTGCTTCATTGGAAGCATTTTTCAAACAGCTTGAGGATAGCCTGTTCTGTCACACCCCTGGATATTTACGGAACTTGAATAAATGTTATCTACTGTTCAGAGCGTGCCAGATTATTAAATCTTTGTGTGAAAAAAGATAAGAGAACTAAGTAGGATGTTGTAGTTCTCTTTACAAGACAAAAGGTTTTTCGACATCGTAAGCTATATTTTGTTTTGTTCATTCCTTTCTTCTGTTAACATAATGAGAGAGAATTCTAATTCCAGTAATAAAATATAATTATAAAGTATGCAGTAGTTAGTTGGATCCAGCTGAAAAACTTGTTTGCTTGTCATTTACGATTTCTTGCAATTCACTTGATCTTTTATGTTGCACCTGTATGTTGTAGTTTAAAATGCATCTCTCAAAATAATGTTCAGATAATAGACCCATTCTTCATTTCTGTAGGTTTAACTTCGGGTCATATCGTCTTTAAAAGACCCTGTCAAATTGTTTAGCTCTGCACAATAACTTATCTCTCTAAATTCGCAGGTTATTGTAGGAAATGTGCTATTCAGTTTCAGGATTTTTTTTTTTTTCTTTTTAAAGGTCCAGTCTCCTAAGGTTTAAATCACTCCTCATTGAATGGCTGAGCACCCTGGGTGATTGATTTAAAAAAAAATCAAATTACATCCTGGTGGAATGAAGAATGATTTTCATTTATATTGTGCAGATGTTAAAAGTAAGATACATTTGGGACCTAAACAAGTTGAACACTTGAGGCATTGTTTCTTTTAGAAGACACCTTAAAGAACAGCAATTCAGCTCTTGACCTAGAGAAGCTTTATCTTTTGAAATGCTTTTCTAAGAGCCGTAGGCAAATCATAGCTTAGCATACTTGTGTTTGTGGTTCTGTCAGACAAGGATGCTTTGAGCTGAAGCCTTTCAAAGGGACTGAATTTACCCCGAAGGTGGCTTGCCTGATGTTGGCAGAGTTACGCTACTGCTGTCTCTACAGAGGGCTGGAATACAGGTGCACTTACCTGTTTTTAAATGTATGCAAATATTGATCTTTAGTTTGTTGATTAATGAGGCCAGTTAGGCTGCAGTGTTTAGTCTTTGTAGTGAAAGCGTTGGGGTATTTTATCCCCTCCACCTTCCTGGTGATGAGGCACTTACACTTTTGTATATGTAGTAAATATTAACAAGTCCTAACTGTGCTTTTTTTAAAAATGATTTTATGATGTTTGCAGTGAAATACTGAGTCCTGTTCCCAGGTATTGACCCTTTCCTCAGTCCAGGGCCCTGGCTGTTGACCTTCTTTGCTGATGTGGTATCCATTTGGAGGGACAAGTGGAAGGGCTGCCTTTGCTGTTCCCCCCTCCCCCTTAGTTCTGAGATTATCACTTGTTTTATTGGTTAAACTCAGTTACGCAGATTGTGGCCAGAGGTGCTTGAGTTAGGAACTTGCTGTGTGTCGCTCCTCATATAATCAAAGGAGAAAGAGAAGCAGTTCCAGGGAACGTTCAGGTCTAGTTTTTATCTTCCCCTTGCTAGAGATTCTCATGCAAGTGCCCACAGTTGGGTAGGGTGAATCCAGGCCAACAGATTAATAGTTCCTGTAAAATAGTTGTTGCACATCTTTTAAATGAGTTTCTGAGGGCGGGGTAAATTAGCTCATCTTTCTTTTCTCGGGACATATTAAAGTCTTGGTGCCACTGGTCAATAAACTGAAGTGTTGTTTCTCTATATTATAAACTTAGACCTTTTCAGTTATAAAAGTTAGTCTTTTTCCCGTTGTATGTAGGAAGGATTTGAGGCTGTCCTTATGCCTTGCAAAATTGCTTTATAGGATACTGGTTAAATATTTCTCTAGGTTTGCAGGTTGAGGACGAGAAAGGATTTTTTTTTTTTTATTATTTTTTTCCCAAAAAACCACAGAAAACAACTAACCTTTCTTTCATAAAATTCCTAATTGTTTGAAGATTTTACGCCTCACTGATTAATCTGGTGAAGGGATTCTTGACCTTTTAAATTAGGGCTTTTCTGGGAAAATTCCTAGATACAGGTATTTCCTCATAGCAAGCCTTGTTGTGCCTGAGAGCTTGGAGCATGAGGCTGCTCACACCCTGTGCCTCTGGGAAGCGTGCACAGTGATGCTGCGCTCACTTTATCCCGCAAGGACTCAGTTTACTCCTGGAAGGAGGGGACAACTAGGTTTAAGAGTGGCCTCACACTGAGAACTAAGAGATGCTGGAGTAAATCTTGTTGTCTTTCCTTTTCTGTGGGTGGTAGCGATTTTGACAGCAGAAAAGGGAAACGCGCCTTTTGCCCGTGGGATGCGTGTCCCACCTTGTGCTGTCAGATTCCTTCTGTTGCATCCTAGCCCAAATAAACCAGGGCGTAATTTGTGTTTAATTTGCCTGAAATAGGATTGGTTCGTTTTAATAAATTTAATTCTGTTTTTTATATTATATAGTCCAAAAACCCTACACTTTGGCTTGGTTTATTCGAGAGTCTCAGCTGGAGTGTTGCCACGCTTTCGGTTTACAACACTGTGTGAAGCACTAGGTCCAGACCTTGCTGATGGCGCTTAGGATTGGACTGCACAAATACATATTTTATTTCTAAACATTATTAAGCCTATGTGAGAAAGGCTGCTGCGTGTGTGTAAGCACCAGAGGTGTGTGAGTGTGGAGCGTGTTGCAGGTGTGTGACTCTCCAGAATAAGAGCACTGCTAGATCCTTGTGATGTTCTGGCTGACATGTGGGTCGCATCTCTTCTCTTCCTCGGTGTCCCAGCATCATAATCATAATCTTGTTCCACACACCCTGCCTGGGGGATCAACTTCACCATCTTTATGCTTTAAAAAACTTGAAGAGATGCTGAATGGAAGTGCAGTTTCAGGTTTTCCACTGTGCTCAGCTAAGAGCGTGGCTGTGTTTCTGAAATAAATAAGTCGTGGGCTAAACAGTCTTTGAAATGAAAATGTTGTTAATCTAAAATAAGACTAATATGCCCCTGAACAGTGCTAACCATAAACACAGACAGATTTTCAAGTGTAATGAAATGTGCAATTAAAGGCATCTTAGAAATGAAGGCAAGTGCTGTGGAGGGCTCAGTGTGTTACGTAGCTTCAGCCGCTAACTGACTTCAATTAACTTTTAAACCAGCAATAAAACAGTGAGGAAAAACAATGAGAAACCAAGCCAGAACTGCACAGGCCTTCCACAGATCTAGCGATAGTTCTGGTGAGGAAATAGGTGACCAAATCACTTACTTAGGGTTTTGCAACCTGTAATTCTGTTCACGGGATCTGGACTACAGAGGTGCTGCATACTTGGAGGTGTTAGAGGTTTCAGTGAGGCTGTTCAAAAATCCTGACTTTGGTATTCAAAGCTGAACTTTCCAATATCGCCTCAAAATTAGAGGCTGCATTAGAGAATTTGACATCTTGCTTTTTTTTTTTTTTATTTCTGAGCCTTTATTTTGTCATCTCTTGAAGGAGGAAACGATTATATGGAGGAAGATTAGTCAGCATGGGGTTGGATGCTTATATGATATTCTGTTCAATATTTACATTACTCGAGAGTAAAGTAAAGCCATACCATGCAGGGGGGATTTTTTTTTAATGTTAGGTCTGAGCTGAGCACCACACACCTTCACGTGATGTTGCTACATCACCTTTAGATAGTTACAGTGAAGCCTTTGTCTAAGGTCGAAGATTTGGAGAGGAGTTAATTTGGGAATAAGTGAATTGTCTAATGCACTGTGCATCAGGAGAAGCCTTTTCTGCTACCTTTACAGGTGAAAGCTGTTTAGAGGCCGAATTATCAGTATCCCTTGTGCTTACAAGAGCTGCAGCCATTCTCTTTGAATGTAAAATATGCATCTGGAATTTTTCTGTAGCCTGTAACGAGATAGGATTTTCTGGTACAGTACTGCCTCATGTTTAGTTGTGTGTGCCTCCTGTTTTGATCTGTCTTGTAGGTTCTGGCATGAACTTGCTGCACATTTGGGAAAAAGTGTGGTCAGTGTCCTGCCTTGATGCTTGTGCTCCTGGATTGGAGGAGAAACTGGGACGCCCTGTGCCATCCCATTCAGTCCTGGTATGTGCCTGTCTAGAAGAGTTGTAAGCACCAGATGGGGCTTTGTGCCGAGTTCTGCTGATGGCACTTTCTTGGAGCGTGTTTGTGTGTGCATGTAAACATGGACACACAGTTACCAGCAGAGCTACCCTGCTTGATTTGATATTTCCAGATGGATGTGTATGCCAGAACAGAACCAGACATCTTTGAAAGCTGCTTTCTCATGGCTGTCATAGCTTTCATTGTTGATCTCCTTGGATTTTTACTACACTGAGAAAAGTTTTGTAGACTATCGAGGGATAAGAACCTTTTTGGTCCCCTCCTATGCCCACAAGCACCTGGTCGCTGAGGAACTGTACGCTGTATTTGTTACTGCATAAACAGAACCCAACATTTGCATTTCTTGACAGAGACCTTGTTTTAAACTGTTTGTAGAGGTAATAAGGTAATCTTTGTGAATAATTTGGGATATTTAAAGCTCCTCAGTTCACGTAGCATAATGGTGAAATCAAATCAAGCTGTGCATCTCCTAGAGTAAATGAACTTAGTCTTAATACCCAGCACAGAAAGAGCTGTTGCTTTGCTGGTGCATATGTGAGAGAGTGTAGATACCCATCACCCGATCCCTCTGAATTCAGTGTTGATCTTCTGTAGTGGAGAGGAACACATCAAAAATCTGTATAGATGTCCTTGTATATTTTTATGGATTGTTTTCTTCTCCTGTTTTTTTGCTATGGCTATCAAATGTGGCTTAAAGAGTACGGTTCTTGACCCCTAAAATAATAGGGGTCATATTCCAGCATTTGATGTTGTGATGTATATTAATGCTGTGTTTCCTCTTATGTTTGAATTGAATTTCTAATTTCTGTGCATTAATATTCATGTATGTGTGCAAAACAGATGGATGTGTTTATATACTTGATGTGAATAACTGGAGAAGGACCGAAAGCTAGAATGCTACTATTTACTTAACCTATTTCAAAATCTAATCTCAGGGTATTTTTAGTAAGATTCTCAACAACAACAAAAAATTGGGTTAAAAATCTTTAAAATATTAATTCATACCTTAAGTACACAGAAATGAATGTTGTAGCTGCTCTGGGGTTGTTCAGTTCTGTGTTACAACATGTTATGTCATACGTTGCAAGATTACTTTCCATTTTTTGAGCTTTTTTCCCCCTCTCTTTTTCTTTCTTTCCTTAGGGGCCCATTTCTCCATATTATAGTCAGCGTTATGGGTTTAGCCCAGACTGTAAAATAGTAGCATTTACAGGAGACAATCCAGGTAAGGTGCTTAAATTTGTAAGACTCAGTGAATATGATTATGTGTGTATTAAAATTCTAAGTCAATCTCATTGATTCTTAGACACTCCCTGTACAGTGAAAGAATATTATGTTTATGAACATTAATACTTATTTCCAGCAGCCTTCCTTCATTGGTTCTTCTGACATAAACATCTGGGATAAGCTGGGTACGACAGATGAATTCTCTTTTGCCTCGTGATTAGAGGTGGCTTCGTTTTGGTTTGCCTGCCCCTAAGAAACTGTTCTTACTGTGAACTGCTAATATTTTAACATAGAAAATATGAATTTAAAAATTGCTGTTGGATCTTTTCAAGCAAAAAGGTGGAGATGGACCCCATAGGCTTTCTCTAAGAATTAGAGCTGTCCTTTTGTTAGACTGATAGATTTAAGTATAAGGAAAAGTCTAAGGGTCAGTTTTTTGAATTCTGGAGTCTGTTTCAGCGTAGAGCAAATTCATCTGTTTCTCAAGACTGAAAATAAAATCTGTATTACAGTAGCGTGTGCGGGTTTGAATCAAGGTGGGAGCTTCATCATGGTACTACATTTTACATTTGTATTCTGGGAGACAGTGAAACTTTGCATTTCCCAAAAGTCTTAAATTTTCCTCTAGAGATTCAAATCCAGCTTAGTCCAGTAAGTATGTGAGTAGTCTGATGTGTGACTGTTTCTGTTTCTCCTTTAAAGTGTGTTGTTAAGGGCCCACTGTATTTAAAACCTGAATGCGTGAAACCTGACGGATTTGTGCAGTTCTGTAGCCTTTATCTTGTGCATTGCGATTTTGTTAAAAATCACTCCCTTGCCCAAAAGCTTTGCTTGTCTCTTGCAGTGAGGCCGTCGTGAGCGTATTTACCATTTGTGTTGTGCTTGGATGTGACGTATTACGATGACGATGAATGTGATGTATTATGATGTCTTGTACAACATGCTGTAATGGAGTCAAACAAGTGACTTTTTATCTGGTGTTCTGACTTGTTGCTTTCAGCATCATTGGCGGGGATGAGACTCCAAGAAGGAGATATTGCAGTAAGTCAAAACCTGCTCCTGAAAACCGTCCACGTCCCTGAATAAATGAAGTGCGTGAAATGTAAAGTAGCTGTAGGTTGTCAGTAGAATTTATCTTCTAATGTTGATTTTCTGTTTATTAGTTTCATGCTTGTTTTATTTCTATCAATCTGCAAGCTGCCTGAAAGACTTTAAGTAAACTCTTGTGACTGTTTTTAACTAATGCTCCAGACATTAAAACCTAACTCTCCATCTAGTATGTATTTCAATGGCGTGACAGCCAAAGTCAGAGCCAGCTTCAGCATGAATCCAATTGACTTAATGTGTAATTTAAAAACAATTAGTGGTAATAACAAATGGTTTTAATTTAATTTCTGTATTACTTTCCATGCACATTGTGATAACGCTTCAATTATACTTTTTCCCCACCAGATTAGCCTTGGCACAAGTGACACATTGTTTCTGTGGATCCAAGAACCAACTCCTGCCTTAGAAGGTCATATCCTCTGCAATCCTGTTGATTCTCAGACATATATGGCACTTTTATGGTAATAACTTTTTTTTTTTGTACATCTGGGATCAATAACATCTACTTCTTCCTCTATCTTTGTGTTTTTTATTTCTTTTGCAAAATGATAATGAATAGAACATTCAGCATTCTGTAGGGTATACGGCAATCTACTGCTGAAACATTTGCATCAATTTTATAGCATTCCTGTTTAATTTGAGTAACTGAAACTGCAGAATTGTGGAGGATAAATTCTCACGGCAATAAAAAGCTGAAATTATGTTTACGTGTACAGAGAGCCAGTTCATTTAGCACACAGGAATAACAATCTTCTGAAATACAATGATGTGAAATGTCAGAAGCTTGACTGGGCTGTGTAACTTCTGTGTTCTTCTAATGGTCCAAAGGGGCCGTAACGGGGCAGGTGATGATTCCCTTTTGAGAGAGAGACTATAAGTAGTGCTGTTCGGGGACTATTAGGCCGTGCACATGGAAAATACTGAGATCTCAGGAAACCCAGCTGAGAGAATGATCCTCAGGGTAGCTTTTGGCTGCTGTGTTTTGGGAGTTGTTTGGCCCCTTGCCAGCAAAGTAGGCTGAAAGGTGGCCTGAACCCGTGTCATCCCTCACTCAGTCACTGTATTCAGGGTAAAAACTTCCACAACAATTAGTTCTGTTCAGGCAAGTACGCAGATCAGTTTTGTGTCTTAAATTGTAGGTGTTTGAAACTCAAAACTTCTGAAAAACTCAAATCTGCCCTTTAACTGTAATGTTGAGTCTTACCCGGACAGTAATAAGGTGATGTGGCAGTGGGAACAGTGTTCATGAAGTTGCGTTCAAAAACTTTCAATTGCAAGTTTCTGAGTGATGTAGTGTGATTTCCTAGCCGTTGTTTTTGCACCAGTGCCCCTTTAGTTCTAGAATATTTGAGCTAATAGGGGACCTTCAGTTAGTAGAAAAAGAGTCCCTGAGCTACCAGGTGGAGTATTTGTACAGAAAACTCAAGTAACTTCTTCTGTTGCTACTGAGCAAGTTCAATAATTTTCTTACCCTCTTTTTGGATATTTCTGTGCCTTTCCTGCTGTGTTGCTCTGATAACTCCATGCTGGAAACTATTCAAACTGCTTTCCTCTGGGTCTGAGTCCAAAACTGCAGTTTTGTGCAGGACTGTTAATATTCACAGAGGAGACAAAGAAGGCAACTGCATAAAGGGTGCAAAGACAATAAACACTAACAGATACATATTTTACAGCATAGTTTATTGGCTCTGGACCAGAACCATACAGATGTGGCTGTGCTGCTCTTCTTTGGCACATCCTGGCACAGAGCTAGACCTCAGAAGTTTCGTTGGACTCAAGCTGGCTCCACGCCGGTACCGTGCTTCTGAAATCATAAATGCAGTGTACAGACATTCTTGCTCCTCCTTGCAGAGGCATCTCAGAGTAAGCTTTTTAGCGCTGTGTCAGAGTACTTATCTGAGGAGTCTTAGCTGTTCAGAGCTAGCCCGGGTTTAGCGTGGCTTGCCAGACTGGTTCTGAGCTGGCTCATTGGAGAGATGTGTGCCAACATCCCTTCACTGTGTTCCTCAACCTGTCCTGTAATGTTTGTTTTCTATCTTACCTAGTTTTCTTCCTCTATGTCTTTCTTTTGATTGTATCTTTTAGCTTGCCTAGCTTTATTCAGCCAATACAGTAAACACCAATATCAAGTAAAACAACAAAATTGCTTTAAAAATATAGAGCCAAATGTTTTGGAAAATGCAGATGGTGTTTCTGTGTGTTTCAGTTTTAAAAACGGCTCTCTGATGAGAGAGAGGATCAGAGATGACTGCGCTTCAGGCTCCTGGGATGAATTCTCCAAAGCCTTATCATCTACTGTTGCTGGAAACAATGGAAACCTGGGTATGAACCTTGGCAGGATTGGAAGTTCCAGGGTTTGCTTAGGCACATGCTTGAGTGAGCATTGTGCCTACTTTTTACATGGGTCATGGTAAGGGCCAAGAATTAAGTTAACTAGATCAAGGGCAATTCCTAAAGGGTGCTTAGGAGTGCTCTGTTGGCAGGCTATGTGTCAGGATAGTATTTTCCTTCAGTATTCTCTAAATAAGAAAATTATGTTTATGAAGCTCTTTTAGTCATTAAAGGGTGTTAGTATCCTAGGTGTAGTAATTTCTGAAGGAGTCTTTCATTGAAGTTTGTTTCTTTGAAAACTCAAATCAAGTGGATTAAGTGACTCCGTATTATTTCTGTCTCAAATCTAGAATCTTGTTCATGCATGTGAACAAGCAGTAATGTCAAGTGATACCCAGATTTCCTCTGTTTTTCCCAATGTGTGTCATGGTCATTTCATCCTGTTTTTTTCCCACATTATGGTAAGTGAATGAAATGGAACAAAATTATGATGATGGACATACTTTAAAAATATGAATAAACCCATGTGTTTGAAGTTCTATATTATTTTCTTTCCTACAGTTTAATGCTTTACAAGTGTTGTATATAGCACTGAAATAAGTTATTGAAAGGTGAGTGTATGTCTGATCAGGATGAAAATTTAACCATTGCAGAGCTGGGTTTGAAACCATCACCCTCATCCTCAATCTGAATTGATATGGGTAAAATTAATTTAAAACTTGTATGTAGCAAAGTCTTTAAATGTAGATATTGAAGCTGTGGAACACTTTACTCCTTAAGAAAGTGACTTTAAGATACAGTTTCTTGCCACTGTGAGGTTAGCACTGATGTTTCATTTTTAGAAGCTTTGTTATGTTGTCTGTCAAATCCAGTCTCTGTGGGATATTAAAATGACCAGGAGTTTCTTTTCACTAGAAGACAAATCAATACAGGTGTTTCAGAAAATGGGAAGAAATTATTCCAAAACCCCAAAGTCAGCCACTTTAGACAGTAATAAAAAAATTGAAAGTTGATGAAAATATTGTTAGTGATTTCAAGGATACCAGGACACTGCCTTGAAGTTTTAAAATTTGTGTTAAAGGATATTCACTTGGATATCTTGGTCCCCTGTAAAAAATGGGTGTTTTGTGAAAGTCACCCTCAATAACCTGTACGCTTGGACAACCTCTGGGTGAGAACACAGTCATCTCCGTAATCTCAATTCCCGAGGGAAGCAGAGCAGAGAAGTATCAGGTTGGGTACCTTTCCTTCTGTCACTTCTTTCCTGCGCTCCCTCTTGTGTGGGAAGATGCCCCTGTGGATGTTTGGAGATGAGCAGAGGCAGCTGCTGGGGGAGGTTGGGATAATGAGAGTAACAGGGGTAGCAAACAGGGGAGGAGGAGGATGGACTGCAGGAGGGTCCTGTTGCATCTGGGAAGTACCCGAGAAGGCTGATAAACCCGACAAGTTTACCTGAAGGCCTCATCTGCCAGGTTCAGGATGGCAAGAGGGTCAAAAAGGAAATTTTGGGATATACATCCCCTGACAGGGCCTGCACATCTGTAGCTCACAGTGCTGGTTGCCAGTAGGTTTTCGGAATGTTTAACCAAGGTGATGTGTGCTAAAGCACACCGCTATATTTGCGTGTTTCTTTCTTGGCTGATAATCATAAGGTTCCTAGGGCAGCATACTCTTGTTCCAAGGCCTGAACCTTAGAAACTCTCCCTAGTTTCTTTGCTATTTGGTTCTGGTTTTCTGTCATTTTCTTTTTTGTCTCCTTCCTTGAATATCTTTTCTGACCAACTCTTCTTGCCATCAACAAAAGAGAAATCTTTTTCACACTCTTTGTCTAGCTGTCGACAAAGCATTACTGCATTTTTTCAGATCTCAACAAATCTAGTCAGAGACCAGCTCTGCTTCGCCACTTAAAATATCTGATGTTCTCTAATAAGCTCATGAAATCTAATCCAATGCATAAAGTGTTCCAGTATTCCTGTACTCTTCTTACCAACTTACCATTTTTTTTCTGTTATTTTTTTGCTTTAACTTTTACATGTGACCTACTGAAACTGTTTCTACGACGTGTTATACGTTGTCTGCACTGCCTGGATGTGTGCGTGTTCTGGTGGATATGTGCTCTTTTGTAGGTTTGTTGTTTATTATTATATTGTTTGGATGCCTAGAGGCAGTTTTGCTGAAGATCCACATTTTTGTGAACTGAAAGTAGTTAAATTTCATAACTAATTTCAGTCCACACATTTAAGAAACAGGCTGCATGGTGACTCAAATGTCTTTCCAGCTGCGTGATAAACATTTATCATTGTTTTAGCTGTGTGCTGAAATAAGATTCTGACTTTGGACTAGCAGTGAACATGACACTCTTTAATGTTCCTTGATGCAGGTTTCTACTTTGATGTGATGGAAATTACTCCTGAAGCAGTTGGGATTCACAGATTCAACAGAGACAACCAAAAGGTAGTAATAATCTAGTTAACATCTCAAAGCTTGAAGCATTACTGTCAAGGCTTGAAATCTTTGCCATTATATTTTTTTTTTGTCTGAGGTACTTACTTTCAAGTTTCATTTATTGATGCAAGTCCCTGGGATGATTTTCACAAAGAAGTATTTGGTCTGTAGCTTAAGAGTATCTACAGTGCAAAGCCTGAACTAGAACTTACATGGTGCTTTTTTTAGGAAATATTTCCTTTACTGGAAAGTGTGGATTTACCGAAACCAACACTGTTTTTGAAACAGAATTAACTTTAAGCATATTGAGAGCTTAGTACACTTGCGTGACTTAGTCCCCAACTTCTAGGTTTCAGACACACAGATGAAAGATGTGTTGAAACTGTGGGCTATAATGCTTTGTCTCTTATCTTGCTCTGAATGTGTATGTGAAGACGTCATTTTGCTGTCCTGCATGTCTTGGGGTAACAAGCTACACATTGGTATGTCAGTAAGCACAGACTCAAATCCAGTTGGAATTAAAATAAATTATGTTAAGGAAAGGAAAGTTCTTTGTATCTTTTTTCTTTTGAGGAATGGATGTTGTTTAAGTGTCTGTCTTGCTGGGTGGTACTGAAACTCGAGAGATGTCTTTGATCAATCATGACACCCCATCGAATAAACCTCACCTAGGTGACCCGAGATTGATACTATCTTGTGTTTGCAGTGTAGCACTAGTCTGTTAAATGTTTGCTGTTTAAATGAATGCTTAATCACTTGTAGCTGTTATACAAGTTGTAGGCACTTACTGTAGTGCATGGAAAAACTCCACTTCATGTGAAAGATTGTTTTGTATTTTTTTGTAGTTGAGTGTTTTCCTTCTTCTCTTGCCTTTCTCATATCCTGGTTGACAAAAGGACAGAAAAATGTTATATATAGAAACTGAATTAATGAAAAGATTGTGACATTGCCTAATGCATCTGAATTTTATCTACTTGCTTTAATTTTTTATTTTTGAGATACTAATTCTTAAGCAGCCTTTGGTGCTGCAAAATGCGCAGAGGAGTCTTTATAAGTTGTGGTAGAACCTTCTCTCGTTGTGCGTGGGTTTCGGGTTTGATGGGTTTGCCAGCAGCATCGATGTTGCAGGATGCGTTCTGTCGTGAGTCTTTAGGTCCCTCTTGTGTGTATGAACGAAGAAATGGGCCCAGACTCCAGGGTGAAGACAAGGATAAATCCGTCTCGTGTTTTTAACCAGTCTCAGGCTTGGCATTGGTTACTCTAAGGTGCTTGTTAACTCAGTGTATTCTTTCTTTGATACAGGTTTCAGGCTTTCCAAAGGAGGTGGAAATACGAGCGTTGATTGAAGGGCAGTTCATGGCCAAGAGGATTCACGCTGAAAAGCTGGGATATAAAGTCAGTAAGTATGATCAAAAGCTGCAGAACTCATGGCACTAGAGATCAGGCACAAAAACAGGAGTCCTGACGTTAACGTCAGAATTGTGAACCTTGTCCTGCCTGACAGATACAGAAACTGATATAATTCCTAAATTAGCCTCCTGGAAAAATTTTTGACGGCATGTTGGGGGCAAATTTTTGCAGATGTTAACTTTAGAAAGACCAATGGTTCAACTTTAAGATGATTTCTTTTTCAAGTATTCTTGCTGTTTCATTGTTACTGAGCTGCATTGTCAATTCTTAAATAAGCGTTCGGGCTTAGATAGCTTGTTGAGTGAAAAGACAACCAGCCTTCTGCCTGTGGCACAAGACTGTAATTCAGAAAATCCGAAATCTGTGTTCGATTCCTGGATCTGCTGTATGCTGATCACTTACCTCTTTAGCACAGTCTTCTGTTAATAAAGCGGAAAGTCTTTCCCTCTCTTCCGAGCCAGAAAGCAAGAGCTCCTGCATCTTATTTATACTATGAGTAAGCACATTGGAACAACAGAATTGGTCAGTATTTTACCTATGGAAGTGGGATCAGATCATTACTAGCTGTGCATTTCTACAAAAAAAATTACAAACAGGTTGGTAAGGTGGTTTATTGGCATTTTCTGTCAGTGTATCAGCTAGTGGCATCTTAAAAAAATAATTAAGTCATCTTGAGGGTTTTTAACCAATGTTTTATTTTTAAAAATCATATTGTTTTTATGTATAACCTGACCTCCTCCTTTACAAGCCATTGCTTGGCTCCTACCTCCAGGCTTTTATTCATAATCGTGAAAGATAATGGGTTTTTTTATGTTTTAAGAAAAAAATTCAGGAGCTAAAAGTTAAGAAAATATAGATATGCTAGAACAAATCTCAAGGCTTGCAACACCACCTCATAAATTTACTCCGTAAAGATTTTCCTGTTGTATATTTTCTTATATACTTGAAACCATATTTATTTAGGGGAGGTTATTTATGGAGACAGGAAGAGATTTAAACAGATTGTGTTTAAAATACCTGTTTATCCTTCATTCTTAGTTTCTGCTGTATCAAAAGCTTGGCTTATATAGCCTGGAAAGCTCACGGCTGAAGAGGATGCTTTTGCACTCTGTAAATGTCGGGGGTTAGACAAACACCAGAGTGTAAGAACTATTTAAAATATCAGATGACTCTGACACAGAAACAAATAGGTAGAAATTATCTGTAAGTACGTTTAGGCTAAGTAGAACAGCCCCAAACCTAACTAGCTTGAGGATGTGGCTTAATAAGCTTTAAAAAGTTTTTTTAATTTATGGTTTTTTTTAAAATACTGTAGATGTCTGCAGTGAAAAGTAGTTGAGTGGGATTGCCCTGTGGTCCTGTAGATACCTTGGAACCTCGTATGCTTTTGTTTTGTTGCATCTTAGGGGTCTTTTAGCTGTTTGGTCACTAACAGATGAATTGCCATGGAAAAGAACTGCTGTATGTAGTGTAGGCTCTATGCATTTCTCTGTTTTCTGTACTGGTATTATTTAAATGTCCATTCTGTTATTTGTGTACTGATGGCAGGCTTACATCTGCATTTGTTGTGTGACATCTCTGAAAACAGGGTGTTTTCTAAATGTGTTTCAGGGTACAGATGAGCATTGTGGGAATTGTTCTGGTATTGCCAAACTTTCTCTTGTTTAATAGCTTCTGTTTTTCAGGCTGCTTTTTTGTTTTTAATGCGATTTAAAAGCTTATTTACTTTTTGGATGAAATACACATTCAGGACCCTTGTGTTTATTCAATTCCTTGTCTACACGGGGAATTTCCTTTGAGTTTTTCCAGGAATCAAGCTGATATACATTCAGAAATCTAATCACATCAGTGTAAATCTGGCTTTTCTTGTTGTTGTTGACACCAGTGGGAGAGTACAGTAATAAATGCTCACGAGACCGGAGTGTTCTGTGATGACACTTATTAAATTCATCTGTAACAGAAATGGGAGTGACATGGTCAGTCACAATAAATCCTTTGCTCTGGTGTCCTGAGGTTTGTTTGGTGCCATGTCAGTGGCAGAAACCTGGCGAGGAATTTCGCTAGTTCTGGCACCAAGGTGATGGAAAATAATGTTGGCAGTCGTGAACCTGCCTCTGTTCGTGGGCCAAGTGCAGTTTGGATGACTGTAATCTTAAAAGCAGCAGTGTATGTGGAAGAGAATTTTGTAAAACAAATAAACAAAAATCTGTCGTACAGAGTTCTTGGTTTTGCACTTTGAGCATGACAAATAATCCTTTAGAATTTCCTTTCAGTTAATGAATATGTTCTCTTGCTAGGAGCAGGTTTTTGAGTCCTCAGTCTGGCTAGTGCTGCAGGAGGAAGTGCAGTGATGCCAGAAAGAGTGTTTTAGATGTGAGGTTTTGCTCCCAGTTTGAGTTTAGTAGATTATAAATCTTACAGAAATTACAAATGATACTTTAAAAACAACCCCAAACCCTTAAACCAGCTCTTCAGGTGTTGTTTGTGCTTGCCTGCAGGCGTGTGGGCAGGTTTCAGTGCGGCTGGCTCGTGTAGGTGCCGGCAGAGGGCAGGGGAATCTATCTCATGGTTTTCTCCTTCGCAGCCGAGATGTGTGTCAGCCTTGTTTTGGAAATGGCACAGAGTCACTAGATGATCCTTAGGAGTAACGTTGCATTAATTGTGATTTAAGGGTTTTAAAAGTGTTTGTCACTCTGTTGTAATTGCTCTAATCTTTCTCAATCAGATTTCAGGGGAAATCATTCAGTAACACCCTGTATCCTGTTTTGCTTATGTGCTTAGGGACTGGATAGACCGTTGTGGTCTAGAAACAAACAAGTGAAGTTTGGTCTGTCCTTGTTGTTTACATCCTCCGATTCAGAGATTCGTGCAGATAAGGTGAAGGTTTGCTGTTCTGCCTTTATTTTCCTGAATTTCGACTGTATCGTAAACACCTTCTGTTTTGTCACTTCCTTTTTCTGTCTGCAGCCATCCCCTTCTGAAAGCCAAACTCACAACTGGGAGTTCAGAGGCTGGTCATACGGACACGCTTGCTGCATGGTTTGGAGACTCTCTGAAGTCAAAACCATGGTAACTTTATGGAGAAATGGCAGCGTCTGCAGCTCAGTGGCGCAGGTGATCACAGCACCTATAAAGCTGTCAGGGGTTCAGACTGATCTGCCAGTGTATACTTTAATAATCTTGATGATTGTTTCAGAGTTGCTTCTATTCCTGACCAAGCAATCCTAAAGTTCACTCTGAAATGGACACTGACTGGACAACGTTCCAGTGGTCCCTCTTTGGGCCTAGTGAAGTGGTTATGGTGAAGACTCACAAAACTGAATATTCCAGGGGGCAAAATCTTTCCCCATACCCGCTGATGGGTGAAGTAAATGTTGCCGTGATGTTTTCCTTCAGCACATATAACATACAGCACACAGGTGGGGATTCTGCTGTTGATCACACATGTAGTCATTAGATATTTAAATGATGTGCTGATCTACAGTGTAGAAACCTTCATGCCAGTGGTGATCTGAGCAGTAAGTCTGTGCGTATTGGGTCAGGTGTGTGCTAGAGTTGTGTTAAATAAGCTTTTGTGGGACTGCAGCAGCAATTAATAAATCCTGCCTTGTAGGTAGACTGATTAGCTGGGGTAGAGTCTCCCGAAGCCGAAAGCTTTGGACAGGGCTTTCTGTCTTCACGTTGTTGAGCCTATCAGTGAGCTCATAGGACGCCAGTTGCCCGATGTGCTGTTGTGTCACATTTATACCTTTAAGAATCTGATTCTGCCACCCAACTGTCATCAGCAGAGGGAGATGAATAGAAGGTGCCACATCTTACAAGTGCAAGCTCTGTTCATAAGATCCTCTGTGTTTATTACATAATTTATGGTCTCTTATGTACGTAAATCCATCACTTGCAAATAATGTTGGTGCCCTGAATTCTACTGACTGTACTTGGTGCTTAAGCGCTGGCTGGGGTGGCACAGCCGTGCCCACGGCTTTGCATTTAGTGAAAAACAAGTCTCATTTTTACACTAAGTGCTGCATGTTACTGGTGTTTCAAATGTATGAAAGTACATCTTTCTGATTGGGTATACAGCGAGATGTGTTCTTAAACAAAACAGCAATCCTGCAGTGGTGGGAAAAAAGGGAAATGTCAGAGCATGCTGGGCCTGACTTCTTAGCAGTTACAGGGGGAACTTACATTTTCTGAAGACCTGAGACTAAGATTACATGAGGGAGAACTCCGAGGTGCCAGTTTTCCTTTTTTTTCAGGTGGTGTTTTCTTCTGATGATCTTTTCAGCAAGCTGAAGGCAGTAATAATGTGTGGCTCTTTGCCCACAGGGAAGACAGTCTGATGGAGCGAGGGGAGCTCAGAAAATATCAATTAGTATAACACGGAGCCATTGTGTTTCGTCCTTCATGTTGTCATATGGAGGCACAGAAACCCAAAGGTGAGGCGGGAGGTTGTCACTTCACAGCAGAGCATTGGTCCATTGGAGGGCTCTCTAATTTGGCAAGGCTGGATGGGTGCCGCTGGTCCTCAGGACGCTCCGAACACTGACACTTTGTGTTGGGCTATGAGACGGGTTTCTCTGCTGCTGCTGTCTGTGACTGACTGGCTTCTGTGATTGTAGTCTCCCAAACTCTTCTGAATCGTCAGGAATGTTGGGCTACTTGTTCTGTCACGGCTAAGCATATTTCTACTCCTGTTGTAACACTGTTTTGGCTGAAATGAGGAACGCTGTGAGTGAGCCCATTTTGTAGTTGCATACAGATTAAATTGATGTTTATGCCCTACGGGACTGAAATTTCTTCGAGAAATCAATACTAAAATGTTGTGTTGGCTTCGTGCTTGTCTCTTGCTGTTTGCTGCTAAGAGCGCCGATGGTGTTTCAGCAGCATGAAGGTGACGGCTTTGTTAGAGGCCTTTTGCCTCAGCAAGTGAGGGTAAGCAGTGTACAAATAATTAGAGGACAGTGCCCTTGATGGGAGGTGGAAGCCCTC